CTTTATTTGTTGTTTTTATAATTTTTTAAAATAATATTAATCTTATATCTTTTAAATTTACTTTCTGACAAATTTTTACAGTAATAAAAGGGTTTTATTTTAAAAAATAACAAAATGGTAAATGAGTAAATTTAATTATTAAATATTCAATAATTTAAAGCTCTATTGAACTCTATTAAAAAAAAACGCTCTTGTGTATGTTTCTTACTCTGTGAAAACTTTTAAAACAATAAAACCACATATGTAAACCCTCCTTTTCAAAAATAATTAGAAATTTTTAGGTTAAATAACCTTTTTATCCCTCTACTATTGAAAAAAGCTCCTTTTTTTGTACCTATACCGAAAAAATCTCTTTTTTAATCCTTAAATTTTAAAATTTCGGCCCTTTTTTAGTTTTTTCGTCAGTTAAGTGACATGGTGGCACTATAATCTGTTAAATATTTTGTTTTTTTTCTTTTCATTGTTGACATGTTATTACACGTTAATCAATAGAATGCCACATGGAAAAAAAATTGATGATGTGGACAAATTTTTTTTTCATATAATTAAGGTTAAACCCTCATTTTGGTCCCTCAACTATTATACGGACCCCCAATTCAGTCCCTTAACTCAAAAAATCTCTGATTTGATCCCTATTGTTTACCATTTTGACCCCGATTTGGTCCTTCCGTCAAATTTTTGCTGAGGTGGCCTGTTAACTAACGAGCAGGGGCACATCTTTTAAATATATAAAATACGTGTAATTTACACCGTGTCCAAATACATGACATGACAAAAAAATTATTCAAATAATCTTTAACCATAATAAAGTGACTATATTACCATTATCTTCAACCTCTAAAATCTAAATCCTTATTTCTCTCTTCCTTCCCGAACTGGGTTCTTTTTCCTCTTCCTTTCCTTTGCCTTCTGCAAACCCTTATACTTTCCTCTTCAACCTCTAGCATTACTGGGTTTGAGAACCCCGCAGAGCTATCAAGTTCAAGAACCCAGCAGATTCGCTGGGCTCGATCGAACCTAGCAGATCTGCTGGGTTCTCGAACCCAGTAAATCCGCTGGGTTCTCGAACCCAGTAGATCCGCTGGCTCGATCGAACCCAGCAGATCTGCTGGGTGATCGAACCCAACGCATCTGCTGGGTTCAATCGAACCCAACGCATCTGCTGGGTTCAATCGAACCCAACAGTTCTGTTGGGTTCGATTGAGCCAGGGAATCTGCTGGGTTCGATACCCAGCAGATGCGCTGGGTTTGATCAAGCCCAGTAAATCTGCTGGGTGATTGAACCCAACGCGATCTGCTGGGTTTGATTGAGCCAGCAAATCTGCTGGCTCGATCGAACCCAGTAGCTTTTTTTCTTTTTTCTTTCTTTTTTTTTTTTTGGTGATTTTGTTTGATGATGATGATGAATTAATTGACGTCATTGAACTGAATGTTTGATTTAGAATGAATGGAGAAGATTTGAGTGGGAGGATGCTGAGGAAGAAGATGAGGACTAGCGCATCTACTGGGTATCGAACCCAGCAGATTC